GTTTGGCTTCATATATATATTATACACACACACACACACATCAGTGTTAGCAAAACTGGAATGGGGAATTTATATTTGCATTGCCACACGTTCATGTCTTAAATTATAAGCCAAAATATTATTGGTACAAATATCTCCACGCACACAGTGACAAGTTAGCCACCAGTACCAGCTGCCATCAAGCTGACTCTGACTCATGGCCCCTGTGTGTCAGAGCAGAACTGTGCTACACGGGCTTCAATGGCTGATTTTCTAGAAGCAGTACCAGGTCTTTCTTCTGAGGAGCCTCTGGGTGACCTCAATCTGCCAACTTTTTGGTCAGCAGCCAAGTGCATTAACCACTTGTATCACCCATGAACTCCTGAAAATTTAGCCAATTGCCCATAGGTCAGATGAAGCTGAATAGTAATTTTAATGAAAAAAAGAAAGAGTAAGCATAATGGAAAACCAAAATCAATTTGAGACAATACTGATGATTCACCCCAAACTAAGCACTCTTCCTGAATATTGCAGGGATCCCCATTCCGCATATGACTTGTGAGGGCAGATTTCTTGGGAAAAAAGATACACTAATATTCTGGCAGTTGTGGTTTAGGAATGCCATGTTTTAGTAATCCTTAATGATTCACTTGGTAAGTAGCCCTTACACAAGTATGAATAACTATGAAACAGTAAGAACTGGGGAGTGGGGGGAGAAGAAGCTGTGTTTCCCATGAAGAGGGATGGTGTAGGAACCATACTTTGAGAATCATTGTATTAAGGGGAGAAAACTTAATTCTTCACAGGGAAGGAGGGAGAAGAAAAAACTAACCCTGGAAAACATTAAACTACAAGGTAATAATAAGCTTGCTTAGTAAAGTATTTCAAACCTTTTGTTTGAGGTGTATCAGTCTCATGAAATTAAGTCTGGAAACTGTAATTTCTAGCAATAAGAAAGCTATGTGCAGAATTTATTTCTTAACAAATCTAAGAAACCAATTCCTTGCTGTCTCATGTACTTATAGTTTTTAAAACCTCAGAAAGGAACAATGGGAAATTTTCTCAAAAAGCCCACCATTGTTTTTAAAGTATCTTTACTTGATTTAGCCTTATATCTGTCACACATTTATCCATAGTTACTGCTTTCACATATTTAACCAGGAAACATTCCATTTTGGAATAGGCGCCAATAGTAATATATGGCAAATGTGTACTTTTTCCCTAATCAGAAAAGTTGGCCAGAAAATGATTTCAAAAGCTGAATAAACCAAAGGAAAAACACTCTTTTGCACTTCTGAAAGTTGTAAAAAATCTCCTCCCAAATGCTGTGGTCCAAGTTTTGGCATTGACTTCTTCCTTCCCAACTATTCTGTTTTTCAATCATCTAATTTGAATATGGGGGAAAAAACTACTACTCTATGGTAAAGGGAGCCCTGGGGTGCAGTGGTTTAAGTACTTGCATGTTAACAGAAACATCTGCGATTTAAACCAACTAGCTACTCCATAGGTGCTCTGGTAGCATAGTGCCTAAGGCACTTGACTGCTAACCAGAAGGCTGGCAGTTCAAACCCACCAGCCACTCCTCAGAAGGAAGATGGGGCAATCTATTTCCGTAGTGATACTCTCAGAAACCCAAGGAGGGCTCACTATGACTCGACGGCACATAACAACAGCAGCCACTCCATGGGAGAAAGATGTGTCAGTCTACGTCATTGAAGATTTATAAAACTGGAAATCCTATAGGACAGTTCTACTCTGCCTTTTAGGGCAACTATGAGTAGAAGTCACCTTGATAGCAATGGATTTTTAATTCAGTGGAAAAATGCCTTGAAAATGCCAAAAGCCTGAAGAGAAGCTAAATTAAATAACTCTTTTCAAAAAGATCATTGGTTGCACTGTGGTTCCCATCTATGGAACCTACTGACTTTCCACTTACTTATGCAACTCTATGACTATCAGATCCTATTGTAAAAGGATCCATCACAAAACATAGAAAATTTCCAATTTAAAGTAGTGTAACACTGATTATCATCTTAAAGAATTTCCAATAATTTCTCCAAACTATATAGATATTAGGGTATCAAGAAAGCAACTTCTCAATTCATTATAACAAATAATTCCTTATTTGGGAAAGTAGAAACAATTCTTGACAGATTGAATTAATCTCATGCAATTGAAAGAGGCTGTTGTAAATGCACAACATTTCAAGAACACACAACAATTTCTTTTGTTAAGCTCTTGCCAAAGTATTCTTCATAGTTTTTTTTTCCTATTCATGATAAAATAACATTACTATACAAGATGCTAAGTTTTCATTTCCTCTTGAATACTTGGCCAATTACTAAATGAAAAGTTATTTTGCTGACAAAGCAGAAAAAGCCCACGTTAGAATATGCTGAAACACTTTCTATAATCGATAACCTAAAAATAATCATGGGGTACAGAAATAATGACGAGTTTGTCAAACCAGCAAAAAACAGAATACAAAAAGACATTAATTGATAGGTCGGGACAACGTGTATCCTGAGAAATCCAAAAGCTCACAAAATCACCCTACTGATTTTTTTAAAAAAACTCATGGAATATAAGATTAGAAAAACCGTAAGTGCAGGATGTTGTTGTTGTTGTTGCTATGTGCCATCAAGTTGGACCTGACTCATAGTGACCCCTCCTGGGTTTCTAAGGCAGTATCTCTACGGAAGTAGATTGCCCAACCTTCCTTCTGAGGAGTGGCTGGTGGGTTTGAACCGCCAGCCTTCTGGTTAGCAGTCAAGTGCATTAGGCACACAGAACAGTTTTGTTAAAAACAAAAAACCCCAACTATTAAAAAAAAAAATCACCAAATAAATGGCCCAGTATTTGCAAAGCCGCTCTAACAAACGCCACTAAGCAAACATGAAGGAAATGTCACACATGGGTACAATTTCTTGTAACCCCATGAAGGATCTGCAAAGCAAGATGTCATCCTGGGAAATACAATTCCTACATGAGGTGGACAAATAAAGGGAACTGTTGTGTAAGAGAAATTTAAAAGTGATTGCCAATGTGTCCTCATAATCTACAGTAAGGGGCTACCACAGCAAGGCAAGATATTCATGGAGGAAAAAGGGTGGTCTCATTTACAAAATCACAACTGTGGAAGGAAACATGATAATCACGACCTGTAGACATTCAACAACCATGAAGACTTATGAAAAACGGGATGGGGTTTCCAATATTGAGATCAAATTACTTGAAGGAAAATTTCAGCTATTAGGGAAAAACTTCCAGGAGGAAAAGATTTATGATAGTGCCAACCTCCTGCCAGCACCATCAGAAGCTCAAAGTAAATGAAAACTCTGGGAACAAAAACTGGAAATCTCTCCACCTCCATCTAAACCACGTTGAAATCATGGGTTTAGATTATAATATGGCCTGTTGTTGTTATGTGCCGTCGAGTCGGATCCGACTCATAGCGGCCTTTCCTTGGGTTTCCAAGAAGGTATCACTACGGAAGTAGATTGCCCCATCTTCCTTCCGAGGAGTGGCTGGTGGGTTTGAACCACCAGTCTTCTGGTTAGCAGTCAAGTGCCTTAGGCACTACGCTATCAGAGCTCCCATAATATGGCCTAAGAAGTTGCATACCTCCAAGCTCTCAATACAATATGGCTCCCAGTACTCCAAAGGTGATCCACACAACTGCATTAATACTGATCTCTTACATCTACTTAGGGCTTTATGCTTTAGAAAGTGCCTTCACTTTTGTTCCTCAACAGCAACCCGTTTGATGATGGGATCCTAACACCTTACTTTCACACAGCTTGTAGTTCATAAAGTATTTTACATAAGAGACCCAAAGAGACTGAGATTAAGTCACTTGTCTAAGGACAGCAGACGACACGTGAGGCGCCTGGGTAACTTCAGGACTCTACTCAGTCAATAATTATTGTTGTTAGGTGCCGTCCACTCAGTTCCGACTCAGCGACATAAACGTACAACAGAAGGAAACACTGCCCGGTCCTGCGCCGCACTCACATCTTTGCTATGTTTGAGCGCAATAGGAGACACTTCCAACCCTTAAAAGTTCAAAGTACAACGCTCCAGGGGGAGTAACATAAGACAGCTTCCACGATAGGGCCCCAGAGTCTCAGCAGACCATCTCTGCCTGTCGCCTTCGTCAAAAACAAGGAAATTGAGGCGACAGGCAGGGACAAATGCCTAGCCCAAGTCCCAGAGTGAGTGCTGGTGGGGTGGCTTCCTACACTACGCCCAGAACGGTTGAATCTTCCGTCTGGGACACCCAGTCGGTCACCAGAGAGAGGGAAGGGCCCTTGCTCCCCTCTCACTATTCCACACCCAGGCTTTCTATGAAAAGGGGGGAGGAAAAGCCTCTACTTCCCAGAAGCTCCCAGAAATCCTCCCTCCCCAAGGCCCTTACTCAATTTTTAGCTCGGGGGCCTCTGGGGTGGAAGAATCCGCTAGCTCCGGCTCCTACCTCCTTGCCCCTCTGTGAGGCGTCTCGAGATCCCGAGCTATTTCGAAGTCTCCCAGGAGGAGGTATGCTTCCCACCTGTGCCCCCCTAACCACAAACTCTACACAAGGAAACGCTCTCAAAACGTCCCCCATTTACCCCTTCCGCCATGGGCATCCCTGGGGGCACCCCTCAGTCTCAGAAGCCGCCCCAGAAACTACCTGCTTCTCACCTGGACCCCTTTAACCGCAGCTTCCTCAGAAGGACGACCCCAAAAAACCTCCACCAGTCAAGAACCCCCAAAGGGGGAACACCCTCTTGCAAAAGCCTCTTCAGGCACCTCAGTGCGGGCCTCGGCGGAGAACCTCGGGCTGTTCCCCGGGCTCTGCCCAACGCCACCTCCTCCCGGGCCCCTTCCCGGAGTCTTCCCCGGCCTCAGTCCGGTCTCCCTGCCCCAGGGTCGGGCGGTTGTTCCCGTCCCTCACGAACGTCCCCAGCCCTCGGAATCCCTCCCCCGCTCCGCGCCCCCAGGGGCTTCCCGGAGCAACCCGGCCGGGCTGCGGCACTGACTTTCTCCAGCTCCCAGGCCCACCGGAGGGAGGGGGCGGCGACGGCGCGACTCCTTTGTGACAGGTCCGAGAGAGCGGTAAAGATGGACGCGAGGCCACGGCGCTGCCATTACGTGCACGGCCCACCCCCGCTTCGCACCGCCCCGGCCCTCCCTCAGTCCCCTAGGAAACGCCCCTTCCTCAGTGGCACGCCCTCTCCATAAAAGCCAATCACGTGTCAGAAATTGGGTCACATGATCAGACGCCCCGCCCCGTCCCCCAGGCGTGAGTTGGCCAATCCGGTTGCGGAGGTGTGAATAGGCCAATCAAGTCTCTCCGCTCGTTTTGAGGGGCACCGGATTTCAAGCTGTTTCCCGGGGAGGAAGAGAGCTGAGGATTGGGCTACGCTTCCGGAAGCGGGGCGGAACTTTGTTGTGGCGGTGAGGAACAGGAAGCCTTGAAGGGTCAAAAGGAATACAAAAGCAAAGGCTATTTTCTTTCTTTCTTTCTTCTTCTTCTTTCTTTCTTATTTTTTTTTTTTCATAGAGCGAGCGGCCTTTGTGGTGGCAGTTTGGGGTGGGCGCCGCTGAGGTGAGAGTCTCGCCTCCCGCGCGGTTAGGTGAGTGCGGTTTGGGCCCCTGCCAGGCAACTAAACCTGGGCTCCAATTTCTTCGCTGAGGAGATGGAGTGGTGGGACTGAGGTTAGGATTAGGACAAGGCCTTTGCCTCTCACAGTCCGCTCACTCGTCCGGTGTCCCGAGTCCCCGAGGCCAGGGGCTTACTGAGCTGAGCCTGAAGGGAATCGGGGAGCTCGCCGGGAAGGCGTCTGGGTCGCCTGGGGAGTCTCCCCGATCCTTTAAGATGGGCCCAGGACTGCCGGGCCATTTGCGGTCCCACCTTTTCCGCTAGCTGGGGCCATCCAGTCCCCAGCGAGGGGTGGACTCACCTCCAGAGGGCTTGGAACCGCCCCAGGCTACTCAGGAGATGGGGACACACCTGGTTGAAGATGGTTGAATCACAGAATGTACGTGCTGGATGGGAAACATCGGTTTTATGTACATGTGCCAGTCGCTGTGCGAAGTGCATTTTCTTCCAGTAGAAAACAAACCAGCATCTCCGTTTTTCCCAATGAGAAAACAAGGCCTGGAGTTGGAGCGTCTTGTTTGAGGCCCTCAATGAGTTGGTGGAGGAGATCTGATGGTGCAGTGGTTAAGCGCTCGGCTGCTAACAAAGGTCAGGGTTTAAGCCCACTGGAAGCGAGAGAAAGATGTGGCAGTCTGCTTCTGTAAAGATTTACAGCCTTGGCAACCGAATGGGCCAATTCCACACTGCCCAGTAGGATAGGAATTTGCTCCTTTTGATAAAGGGAGTGGAGATGAGATGAAAGCACCTTGGAAAGGCTTTCAATTAGAGCCTGAGCTGAGCTGTTAAATAATTTGTAAGGGTCTGAAAGCAGAGGCTGCCTGATTGTCTTTGTCAATCGAAATTTTGATAGTTGGGAAATTCTGCTTAGTTGTAAGAAATAATTATGTGAATATCATTTAAGTGGTTAGCAGCCTTCATTTTCACCTCCCCAAGAATCTTGATGTTTGATTAGGGGTCACATTGCTTCTTCAGAAATTAACCATGTATCGGATAAATGGACTAATTTAAGAGCATGTTCAGTCAAAGCCTCAGGTAAATTAAGAGATTTCATTGTGTTCTCATGATCTTTTGAAATACTTCATCTTCATTCTTAAATATGATTTATTTAACTCTTTACTGTAGGAGTTTTTAAGAGGTTTTTTTTTTTTTTGTCTTTGGTTTTCTGCATTTTCATTATGTATCTGGACGTTGATTTCTGTTGAGTGATTCCAAGTCATGATGACCCCATGTGTCAGATAGAACTTGTGCCATAGGGTTTTCAAGGCTGTGACCTTTCAGACATATATCTCTAGGCCTGTTCCACGGTGCCTCTGGGTAAGTTTGAACTGCCAACCTTTCAGCAAGTAGTCAAGCACTAAATTGTTTGCATTACCCAAGGATTCCATTACGCTTGGATTTGTGGGTTAGTGTCTGATTAGTTCTGGAAAAATGCTAACAGTGTTTTCTGTTAGTGATTCTCACTCTCTTAAAGAAGTTTTATAGGGAAAGTCAGCTTGATCTAAATTACTGTAGCTTGGTAGAAGTGCCTTCTGGCCAGAAAGCAGTCTTTATTTGGAATATAACTGAGTTTGCCAAATGACAGATTCCTCTAAGTTGCTGTCCTGTATTTTGAAATCCCATGTGACTTGAACATCAGGTTAAAAACATTGGAAGAGGAGTGCCTTTTACTGACAAAAGAAAAGTAGATTGGGCTATTGTTTTTGGATCCCAATGTGAAGGAAGCCTTATAACCCCATAACATGGAAATCTGATTCTGTCTGGTGTATTTTTACACATACCATCTCTCTAATTTTAGAATGAGGAGTGTATAGTGGCCAGTGATGTCAACACATAAATAGTCTGCCATCACAAAATTCAATTCCATAGGAAACCAGATCTCATTAACTTGTATCATGGCAGTAGCTAAATGGAACAGTTTTTCAGCTCAAGGATTGCAATTATTTTGGGGGCAGCAATGTAAGATTTGTATTTTAAAACGTTTTTAGCATGCTATGTAAGAAAGACACTGAGCCCATTTTGTTTGACCAACCTGGAAATGAAATACCATCGTCTGCAGTACAAACACAGTAGTGCAGTGTTTAACAGTTACTTTGGTTTGAAATATAAGAACTTTGTTTTCTTGGCTGTGAAGCAAATTTGAAAACTATGTTCTTTCTTTATGCCAGGTTGAAACTCTTAAGTTTTGGCAAAATTATTTTAGTGTGATTTAATTTTCCATGAATACTTTATTTCAAGAACTTAAATAATCCTACGCCACTAGAGCTCTTAAATAATGTTTAGTGTTAATAGTTAAACTTAAGTCATTTTGGGGGTGGAGGGACAGACTGTGAGTAGAGAAGAGTTGCCAGCATTTAAAAGTTAAACACGGTAAGGACCAAGTAAGCATCCCCAGTGTAACTCTTCTTTCTTACATGGATCTTAATAGAGCCTCACACCTTTGGTCATTTTGTTTGTGTTCAGTTTTGTTTTAGATATTCTAGCAAAAAGGGGAAGAAAGAAGAGGCTTGTGAACATCAACTATGCAGTAGGAATTAGAGGAAACACAATTTAGTTTTTTGGCTTTGTCTTGTTCCAGAGGATGTAAGTAAGTTACAGGGGCTCCTTACCTCCCAACTGTAAAATAGCCAGTGAATATTGAACTGTTCAAAGAACAATACTTTCTGTAGAAAATACTTATTTTTCCATATAAGTGAGCATTTTATTTATTTTTAAAATTTTTTATTGTGATTTGGGTGAAATTTTACAGAGCAACTTTGTTTTCCATTCAACAGTTCATACACATTTTGTTTCTTGACATTGATTGAATCATCACAGCATAACAGCTCTCTTCCTACTTCCTCTCTGTGGTTACCTTTCCTTCTGTCCTTCTTTCCTATGCATTCCTGCCTTCTGAGTTTTCTCCCTGTATAAATGTTGCCCTTCTGATTTCCCAAGGTTAATCATTCTAAGGAATGCAATTCCCTGGTATAGTTGTTTACCTCGTAGTCCTGTCTATTGTTTGACTGAAAGTTAAGCCACTGAAGTGAGTTCAATCCCAGGCCTAAAGGGTGACTAGAGGCCATAGTCTCGGGGGTTTTATCAGTCGCTATCAGACCAGTAAGCTTGGTCTTTATGATTTTGAATTTCATTCCACATTTTTCTCCCACTCTATCTAGGATCTCTGATTTTGATCCCTTTCTGAGTGGTTGGCAGTGGTATCCGAGCATCATCTGGCTCTTCTGGTCTCAGGGTTGTGTCCCTTGGACTGTTTTCATCCGTCTTTGATTTTCTTCGATCCTCTTTGCTCCAGACGAAGAGAAATCTACTTGCAAGCTTTTAAGACCCTAGTCGCATTCACCAAAGTAGGATATAGAACAATGTTTTGTGTATTTTGTTATGCCATTTGAGCCTGATGTGCTCCACGACCATGGTCCTGAGCCCACAGGCCCAGTGATTCTGTGAGTGAGCATTTCAGATCAGCTACAATTATAGGAAAGTAGTAGGAATTATCCTGTAAAGATGATCCAAACCAAAACCATTGAGTTGCCATTGAGTTGATTAAGGCTGTAAATCTTTACGAAAGCAGACTGCCTCACCTTTCTTCCTTGGAGTGGCTGGTGGGTTCGAACCACTGACATTTTGGTTAGCAGCCAAATACCTTTAACCACTGTACCATCAGAGCTCCTTTGAAAGATGATACCAATTATATAATATAATAATGTGATTTCATTTTTGGTCCTTTGTTTCCTACTACACAAATAAATTGTATGATGTTTGAATAAAACTCTATGGGATATAGGAGCTTTAGGAAATAATTGTTTAATAGCTGGGTAAAAAGGAGCTCTGGTGACACAGTGCCTAAGGCATTTGACTGCTAACCAGAAGGATAGCAGTTCAAACCCACCAGCCACTCCACAGAAGGAAGACTGGGCCACCTACTTCCATACAGATTTATTGCCTTGGAAACCCAGTGAGGGTCACTGTGAGTTGGAATCGACTCAAAGGCAGTGGGTTTGGTTTTTTTGGGTTTTAAATAAATAAAACAATATCTATCATTCTCTATAACTTACATTGGACATTCCCTAGGAATATTTGTGTGAAGGTGTTCCTCTCTTCTCAAATTCTTTAAATCCTCCTTATGGTGGGTATTTGTTATATATCTAATATATGCCAGGAGCTCTGGTGGCACAATGGTTAAAATAGTTGGCTACTGTCCAAAAGTTCAGTGGTTGAACCCACCAGCTGCTCCGCAGAGGAAAGATGAGGCAGCCTGCTTCCATAAAGATTTACAGCCTTGGAAACCTTATGGGGCAGTTCCTAGGGTCATGAGTTGGAATTGACTTGATGGCAGAGGGTTTGGTTTGGTTTGGTGCTGATAAGCACTATGGCTACAAAGAGCTATTAGAACAGTTGTAAATGATAAAACACAGTAAGTGTTATTCTGAGGTACGAATGGCTGTTGTGGGGACATGTTGTTAAATGCTTTCAAGTTGGTTCCAACTCAGCAACCCCATATACGACAGAATGAAACACTGCCTGATCCTGAAACACTGCCTGGTCCTGAAACACTGCCTGGTCCTGTGCCGTGCTCAAAATTGTTGCTGTATTTAAGGTCATCATTGCAGCCACTGTGTCAATCTATCTCATTGAGAGTCTTCCTCTTTTTCACTGCCTCTCTATTTCACTAAGCATATGTCCTTCTCCAGGGACTGCTCCCTCCTCATAACATGTTCCAGAGTCCACGAGGTGAAGTCTCGCCACCCTCGTTTCTAAGCGTTCTGGCTGCACTTCCTCCAAGCCAGATTTGTTTGTTTTTCTCTCAGTCCATGGTATATTCAGTATTTTTTGCCAGCACTATGATTCAAATCTATCAATTCTTTAGTCTTCCTTATTCACTGTCCAGCTTTCACATGCATATAAGACAATTGAAAATACCATGGCTTGGGTTAAGTGCACCTTAGTCTTCAAAATGACATCTTTGTTTTTAACACTTTAAAGAGGTCTTTTACAACAGATTTGCCCAATACAATATGTTACTTGATTTCTTGACTGCTGCTTCCATGGATGCTGATTGTGGCTCCAAGTAAAGTGAAATCGTTGAAAACGTCCTTTTTTTTTTTTTTCCCCATGATGTTATTTACTGGTCCAGTTGTGAGGATTTTTGTTTTTTTGTTGAGTTGTAATTCACACTGGGAACTATAGTCTTTGATCTTCATCATCGTGAAATTTTTCAATATCGGCTGGATGACCATCTGCCAGGTGTTTATGGGAATAGATAGGTGTGAGGGGAAGAAACCAGACAGCTAATGTAAGGTGAGAAAGGAGGGCTACAGGTAAGAGAGAATAAGAACGTGATCATCCAGTATGTCTTTCCTATCCATTAGAGTCCTGCATAATTCACATTTTCTCTGCCAGAAACATTTAAGAAAATGTTGGCTTTTGTTTCATAAGAAGTCATTTTGTAGAATTTGAGGAATTTTTGGCATGATCACAGAGACTGAACAATTCTGATTTTGTTCCAGGCGCTGGAGACATCGAGTGATGCTAAATCTAAAGTTTCTAGGTTGTGGACTTGAGGAGGGAATAGCAGCTTCTGTAGGCCGATTTAGTTGTCTTTTTAGTGGCTTTCAAAATACTGTTTTTACATTTAATTAAACCTCAGCAGCAGTAGGATTTAGGCTGAAGCTGTTTTCTTGGTCTGAATGTTTCATTTTTCTCAGCTTCCACTTCTGTATTGAATAAAAATGTTATACAAACACTCTCAGCACTGGAATTCTGTGTAGAAAGAAAGCCGAAATTGATGTGTCCTTGTTTTCAACCAAGGTTTAGTGGTTTCCAGGAAAGGGTATGATGAAGGAAGAGTATGAATTTTGATGTTATGCCTGGGTTTGATACTGTTCACCACTTATATCACCTTGGACAGGTGACCCAATTTCTCTAGGTCTCAACTTCTTCATGTGTAAAGAGATAACATCTCTCATAGGGTCAACATGGTTTTAAATGAAATAATAAACATAAAAGTATTTAGCATGTGGTAAGAGCTCAGCGTTAGCTATTTTTGTAGTAGCAGCAAAGATTTCTTATTTTTGTTATTGTAGGGATAATCTAGGAATAGGCATTGGGTTGATGTGCTAATAGTGCAAAATATGTGCTTCCTTGTTAGGATGTAATACTGTGAATAGCACATAATATGTCTAAGTAGAGGGTTGATTTCACAGTTCTTCAAAAGAAAAAAAAAATCCAGCAAAGAAAAGCAGAAAGAAGTTCAGAATACACACTTCTCTCTCTCTCTTTCCTTCTCCTTTTTTCTGAAGAGACGTTTAGGTAAAAGTATATAGAGAATATATATGCAGAATTGGAAATCTGCATCAAGGTATACGGGTCATTGTGGGAGTGAAAAAAGAAGGGTTGAAAATAGAATGTTAAATTATATAGACATGGTGTTTTCAGGGAGGAAGGTGAAAGAGCTGAAGGAGGAGTTAGTTTAGAGTAGTGGAAAGGACATTGAGTTGGAAGTTAGGAGGCCTAGGCTCTTCTAGTCTCACTCTCAATCCATGTGTGTGCCTCTTAGCATAGCTCTTAACATAGCTGTGCAGACTGGACTTGATCTGTAAGGCTCATGAACCCAAGTTTCTCTCTTTTGAATTTGCTTGGAAGTAAGAGCAAGCATAATGCCCCTGAAACAGAAATTTCAAGAAGGAACAATGTCAGGTGTTACAAAAGTAAAGGAGGATGAGAACTGAACAAAAAATGAGGTACCTAGGAGGCAAATTAGATTGTGTTGTAGTTATGTGCCGTCGAGTCGGCCCCCACTCATAGAGACCCCTCCTTGGGTTTCTGAGGCGATATTACTACGGAAGTAGATTGCCTAACCTTCCTTTCGAGGAGTGGCTGGTGGGTTTGAACCATGAGCCTTCTGGTTAGCAGTCAAGTGCCTTAGGCACTATGCTACCAGACCTCCCATATTAGATTAGAGGGACAAAAATAATTTGCAGTGTGAGATTTACTATGGAACACCATGCAATCAGAATTATTCCAGGTCCTCTCTTGCTGACATTGTAAATACCATAGCTGTTTTTAAAACTGCTTGGTACATTCCAAAACCAAAACCAAACTTAACTGCTGTTGAGTCTATTCTGTCTCATAGCGACCCCCATTGGGTTTCCAAGGCTGTGAACCTTTACAGAAGCAGACTGCCTCATCTTTCTTTTGCAGAGTGGCTGGTGGCTTCAAACCACTGATCTTTTGATTAACAGCCAAATGCCTTATCCATTGCAGTACCAGAGCTCCTTACCTGATACATTGTTGTTGTTGTTATGTGCCATGGAGTCGGACCCGACTCGTAGCGACCCCTCCTTGGGTTTCCGAGGCATTATCACTACGGAAGTAGATTGCTCCATCTTCCTTCCAAGGAGTGGCTGGTGAGTTTGAACCTCCAGCCTTCTGGTTAGTAGTCAAGTGCCTTAGAGGCACTACGCCACCAGAGCTCCCACCTGATACTTTATGAAAATAAAATTGTATGCTCTTATCAGTGGCTTATAAATTAAATTACAGTTGACCCTTGAACAACATGGGTTTGAACTATAAGAGTCTATTTATATGTTGATTATTTTCAATAAATATATTCGAAACTTTCTTGGAAATTTTTGATAATTTCAAAAAAACGTGCAAACTGCAAAGCCTACAAGTATTGAAAAAATTAAGAAAAAGTTAGATATTTTATGAATGCATAAAATATATGTAGATGCTAGTCTATTTTTATAATTTATTAACAAAATTTACATAAATCTATTATAAAAAGTTGAAATTTATCAAAAGTTATACACACATTTACAGACTGTACATGATGCCATTTACAGTTGCGAGAAATGTAAGCAAACCTAAAGATGCAGTATTAAATCATAACTGCATAAAATTAATTGTAGTACATATTGTACTACTCTAATAATTTCATAGCCACCTCCTGTTGCTATTGCAGTGAGCTCACTTGTTGCAAATACTTGCTTAAAACACTGTGTGATGCCAACCATCTTTGCTTAAGCAGTTTGCCTCTCCAGTAAATTGCATATTGCAGTAAAAAGTGATCTCACTGTTCTCGCATATTTTTCATCATTTTTACTGCAGTACCATAAACCTTGAATAACTCCATGGGACCCATACAGAGAGCTACTAGTGATACTAGAAGTGTTCCCAAGAAGCAGAAAAAAGTCATGACATTACAAGAAAAAGTTGAATTGCTTGATATGTACCATAGATCGAGGTCTAGAGTTGCAATTGCCTGCCAAATGAAGATAAATGAATCCAGTGTAAGGACTGTTGTTAAAAACAACAACAATGGAAATTCACGAAGCTGTCACTGCAGCTACACCAGCAGGCATGAAAACCTTGCACATTTTGTGAATACCTTTTTATCTCGTATTGAAAATGCAGCTTTTATGTGCATGCTAGACTGCTATAAGAAAGACATACCTATAGACTCTAATGTGATTTGACAAAAAGTGAAATCATTTTATGACAGCTTAAAGCAAAAGGAAGGTGAAAGGTCTAAAGCTGAAGGATATAATGCCAGCAAAGGATGGCTTGATAATTTTAGGAAGTTTGGCTTTAAAAATGCCAAGATATCAGGAGAGGCAGCTTCTGCTGACCAGGAGATAAGAGACAAGTTCTGAGATGCCATTAAGAAAATTGTTGAAGAGGAAGGATAACTGCCTGACCAGGTTTTTAATGCAGACAGAAGTGCCCTAGACCGGGGGTAGGGGGAGGAAATGCCACAAAGGATATTTATAAGTAATGAAAAAAAGCAAGCACCAGCATTTAAGGCAGGAAGGGATAGGCTATCTCTACTGCCTTGTGCAGATGCAGTTGGGTTTATGATCAGGACTGTTCCTTATCTATAAAGCTGCTAACTCTCAAGCCTTGAATGGAAAACAAACACCAGTTGCCAGTCTTTTGGTTGCAGAACAAGAAGGTCTTGACAACAAGAACCCTTATTCTGGATTGGTTCCATTGATCTTTGTTCCTGAAGCCAGGAGGTACTTTGCCAGTAAGGGGTTACCTTTTAAGGTTCTTTTGATATTGGACAATGCCTCTGGCCACCCAGAACCTCATGAATTTAACACCAAAGGCGTCAGAGTGGTCTACTTGCCCCCAAACACAATGTTTCTAATTCAGCCTCTAGATCAAGGGTCATCAAGACTAGGTTCATTACACATGATACACTAACAGAAAGGATTGTCAATGCTATAGAAGAGAACCCTGATAGAAAGGGCATCATGAAAGTCTGGAGGGATTACACCATTGAAGATGACATAATTGTTACAGAAAAACCCTTGAAAGCCATCAAGCCCAAAACAATAAATTCTTGCTGGAGACAACTGTGTCCAGATGTACATAATTTCACCGGATTTACAACAGAACCAATCAAGGAAATGAAGAAAGAGATTGTCAATATGCCAAAAAATAAAAAAAGTTGTGTGTTTGTGTGTGTGGATTTGGTGAAGGGTTTCAAGATGAGAGATCTTGGAGACATTCAAGGACTGATAGTCACTACACCAGATGAATTAATAGAAGACGACTTGATGGAGATTAGTGCTTCTGAACCAGTGCCAGACGATGAGGAAGAAGACGAAGAAGAAACAGTGCCAGAAAACAAATTGACATTAGACAATCTGGCAAAAGGGTTCCAATTATTCAAGACTGCTTTTGACTTCTTTTATGATATGGGCTGTTCTGTGATATGGGGACTGAAACTAAAGCAAATGATGGAAGAAGGATTGGTACTGTATAGAAACGTTTTTAGAGAAATGAAAAATCAAGAAAGTCAGACATAAATTGTGATGTATTTCCATAAAGTTACACCAAGTGTGCCTGCCTCTCATGACTTCCTTTCTATCTCCTCCCCCTCTTCTACCTTTGCCACTCCTGGACAGCATAAAACCCCTCTTCTCCCTCCTCCTCCCCAGCCTAAACAATGTGAAGACAACAAGGATGAACCAATGATGTCTGCTTCCACTTAATACTAAATAATCATCAGGCTGTACAGTTAATAAACTTAGTGTATGTGTGTGAGTGCTTTCGTGTGAAAATCTAGTGACTGTATGGCAAGAATGGTATTAATTGACTTTTTGTTATCAGGAAGACTTCAAGTCAACCGTAGGCTATCGTTAGTAGTTATGTTTTTGGGGAGTCGAAAGTTACATGCAGGTTGTCAACTGAATGGGCGGTTGGTGCTTCTATTCCCCACATTGTTCAGAGGTCAGCTGTATTTGAGAATTTCTTCCATTCAAATTTGGAAGAGAATTTTGAGGTAGACACAAAGCTAAATTTTATTTCTCTTTAGAATTTTAATTGCAGTTCTCCCTTGAAACTTTTTGTTTTCTTTTTTGTAGACCAGTTTTCCATTATGGATGGAGGGGATGATGGTAACTTTGTTATCAAAAAGAAGTTCGTGTCTGAGGCAGAACTAGATGAACGACGTAAAAGGAGGCAAGAGGAATGGGAAAAAGTTCGAAAACCTGAGGATCCAGAAGGTATATAACTTAGAATTTGTCATTCAATGTCATGTTTGTTAATGCTGACAGCAACCCTGCAAAGTAGATGTTAATATCTTCCCCTCAGAGATGAGGAACTGAGTGAGACTCAAGGGTGAAGTAAGATGTATAAAACCTCCATGGCTGGGAGCAGAACCAGGATATTCACACTCTTACCCTTTCTGTTCTACCACTCTGCCTTCCAGGAGAGTCTACTAGACTGTTCCTTCTACACATGTGTAGGTTATGTGGATTGTCAGTGTGAGATCCAGGGTCTGAACAACTGAGAACACAGGTCTTGTAGTTTTGGCTGACCCTTCATCCAGTTAATTGTTCCAGCAATGTACCCTGTTGACACTGCTAGTTAACTTTGAGAATTGCTGGCCTCTCCGTGATCCAGAGGAAAGCTGTAGACTTTATACTATTTTTGTGTTATCCTTGCCCTCAGATCATGTAGAGAAGACTTGACTATCCTTACAGCCCTTTGTGATCCTAAAATAATATGAAACTTCTAAAGTATGTACCTTTTTTACCCCTGTCTCTCCCTCTCTCCCCTCTTCTTCCTTTCAGAATGTCCAGAGGAGGCTTATGACCCTCGATCTCTTTATGAAAGGCTACAGGAACAGAAAGACAGGAAGCAGCAGGAGTACGAGGAGCAATTTAAATTCAGTAAGCCTTAGGAAATAGAGTCCAAGGGACTCTGCAGGGCATTGTTGGTGTACATCTGCCTCATGCAACCCTTTTTCTAAGTAGCCATGCAATTGTCTTGATTATCTAGTCTCCAGATGCTTGTTTGGCAGAAAAGAGACAGCCTTCTCCCTTTTAGACCACATTGAACATTTTTGTTTAAAGCTCAAGGTACCCATTTTAATTATATGCTAATATTTAGAAATGGGTAGAAATGCCTTGATGTTGTGCTTTGTTATGTATCCAAAAGCCATGGTGTTTACCAGTTCTTTCTTCTAATCCCCTAAAGGATCTGCTGTTTATTAAACTCAGGAAAAGGAAAAATCTTATTTGATTATATTTTCCCTTAAGTCTGCTAAGTGTTCCTTGCTTAATTATTTCTTCAGAAAACATGGTAAGAGGCTTAGATGAAGATGAGACCAACTTCCTTGATGAGGTTTCTCGGCAGCAGGAGCTAATAGAAAAGCAACGAAGAGAAGAGGAACTAAAAGAACTGAAGGAATACAGAATATCCTTTGTACTTGGGGAGAAATTTGTGAAGCATCAGTTGTCTCATCATCTATGGACTTCAGTTTACTCACAAACAGAATGAGGCTCTTCTGCCTCGTGATCTCTAAGTTCCCTTTCTGCACTGATATTACTGTTACTCTGAATAACTGGCAGTGATTCGTGAAAGTTATGTTGCCTGTTGCTCTCAGAAGTCCAGATCCTCTAGGATTACCTCAAGGCATAAATCCTTAGTACTAGAGTATGCTAACCATGTAGCATTAGACTCTGAGATTGATGGGGGGTGAAATAGACCTTATCCAGGGGAGAAACTGACTTCTGAGTTTTGAAAGGAAATGTTTAACAATTTTTCTGTGTCCTTGGTAAGACCTTCCTCACAGGTACAGTGTAGTCTGTCCCCGTAGGAAGTGCAGAGAAAACAGCAAAGATGACTTCACTTTTGCTCAAGACTGCCTTTTTGGCATCTACTTTAATGGACATCCCAAATATAACTTGGCTAAATCATAATTCTCAATTCCATGCCACACCCACCCCTCGTCCTTATCTCTCTGCTCTCCTCCAAAATCTTTCTAGTTTTCTCAATCTCAGAATCTGATACTGCTATACCACCAGGTGCTGAGGCCAAAAACCTGAGTCATCCTCATTTCTTCTTCACCATCCTCCCATCCCACATCTAGTCTATCAGCAAATTCTTTGAAGTGTATCTCTAAAGTGTATTCCAAATATGTGTACTTCTCACTGTATCTACTGCCGTTGCAGTAGTCCTAGCCACATCACCTCTCTTCTGGACTACTATGACCATCATTTGGTCTCAGCTTCTACTCTTGTCCCTGACGATCCATTCTCCACACAGCAGCCAAAGGAAACTTTTATAAACACAAGTGTGATCATGTCACTTTCCTGTGAAAATACTTATAATGGCTTCCCATTGCATTTTTACAAAAATCTACATTCTTTACCAGGTCTTACAAGGCTCTGTGATTTAGGCCAAGGTAACTCCCTGTTATTAGTGGTTGGTGCATAAATTTGAATAATAATAGTATTAACTGGTCTTCCTTGAAGGCGTGTGGGTATTATTTCTATCACTGACAGGATTGTATTTCAGGATAGATATTGAAATGTTTTTCACAAGGAAAGTGATGTCATTCCTCTTCAGTTTGTCATTCCCAGCATAGTAGACCATATGATTGTCAGATTCAAAATGGCCAGTACCAGTCCGTTTGAGCTCACTAATGCCTAAGATTGCAATCTCTATGTGTTCCGTTTCATTTTTGACATCCCATTTTCCTAGATTTATACTTCATACATTGCACATTGCAATCATTAATGAATGTTTGCAGCTGTTTCTTCTCATTTTGAGTTGTGTCACATCAGCAAATGAAGGTCCCAAAGGCTTTACTCCATCCATGTCGTTAAGGTCTACTACTGTCCTTTGAGGAGGCAGCTCTTTCCCATTTGTATTGTGAGTGCCTTCCAATCTGAGATGGCTCATCTTCTAGCACTCACTATATCAGACAGTGTTTCACTGCTGTTCATAAGGTCTTCAGTGACCAATTTTTAGAAGTGGAATGCCCTGTCCTTCTTCCAAATCTGTCATAGTCTGGAAGCTTTGCTGAAACCTGTCCACCATGGGTGACCCTGCTGGTGTTTGGGATGCTGGTGGCATAGCTTCCAGCATCACAGCTGTGTGAAGCACACCACAGCATGACAAACTGACAGATGCCTATGAGGAACACCAGTTAATACCACTGCTATTTAAATTTATGCATCAACCACTAAAGCCAAAGATGAAGAAATTGAAGAGTTTTAACAACTTCTGTGGTCTGAAATTGACCAAATGTGATCAAGATGTAATGATAATACTAGTGATTGGAATATGAAAGTTGGTAACAAAGAAGCAGTATCAGTAGTTGGAAAATATGGCCTTGGTGATAGAAATGACGCTGAAGATCGCATGATAGATTTTTGCAAGACCAATGACTTATTCATTGCAAATATCTTTTCTCAACAACATAAATGTTGACTATACATGTGGACCTTGCCAGATGGAATACACAGGAATTAAATTGACTACATCTGTGGAAAGAGATGATGGCGAAGCTCAATTATCATCAGTCAGAACAAGGCCATGGATGAATGCAACAGATCATTAATTGCTCATATGCAAGTTTAAGTTGAAGCTGAAGAAAATTAAAACAAGTCCAAAAAAAAAAACCCACAAAACCAAACTCATTGCTGTCGAGTCGTTTCCAACTCCTTGGGTTTCCGAGGCGGTATCTCTACGGAAATAGATTGCCCAACCTTCCTTCTGAGGAATGGCTGGTGGGTTTGAACCGCCAGCCTTCTGGTTAGCAGTCAAATGCCTTAGGCACTACACCAAGGAGGTCTGGTGGCATAGTGCCTAAGGCATTTGACTGTAGCCAGAAGCCTGGCGGTTCAAACCCACCAGCCACTCCTGGGAAGGAAGGTTGGGCAATCTACTTCTGTAGTGATACCATCTCGGAGACCTAAGGAGGGGTTGCTATGAATTGGATCTGACTGGTCGACTGGTCAGCAGTGAGTTTGGTTTTTGGTTTTTATCACTATCTGGAAATCTTCATTTATTTGTTTACTGGTTTGTTTATCTCTCTACTGCTGGAATGTAAAGTAAGCCCCATAAGAACAGGGACTTTATCTGACTCGGTTACCACTCATTTCTCCAGGGCTTTGCATATAGTAGGTTTTCTGTAAATATGGGAATGAATGAATGAATGAATGACTCCTAGGAGAGGTTAGTAGAGTCACCCTAACTGTTTTCCACCCAGAAGGATGCTTATTTGGATTTTTTCAAGCTTATGTGTTGAGCAGTTTCATTACGGTAATTGAGCAGGTTTTGCCTCTATGGCTGATGATATGACTCAGTGGTTTGTGCTAGTTGGTATTTTCTTGCAGTGTGTCAAATATGTTCCATTACAGAGGAATAGGGAAGAAAATCTGAAGAGATTCCCAGAGATTTGGTTTGGGTAAAAGTGACAGTGACTGAGGTGGCAGCATGATGCCACAGAACCTCCTCTGAACTGGTAGATAAAGAGCTGGCTTCTAGTCCCAGTTCTGCTGGTGGCATTCTAGTGCAACATTAAGGTAGCAGTTGATGGAAAGTTATATCACCATTCTGAATCTTGGTTTCCTTGTCTATAAACTGGGATTAGAGCCGTTTTTTTTTAACCCCTACTCCCTGTCCCAGTGACCCCAGAATAACATTATGCATTGATGTTTGTAGAGATAGGCAGATACGTGTATAACATTGTTACAGGCATCAGACTTTTTCCTCCAAGAAAATATGCTAATTATACTTCTCACTTGAATTATGTCTTGTTTTATGTCTATGCTTAGTTTGGCAGACTAACAAATAAGACATACAATATCTCCCCCACAGCAGCATTCTGGAGAGCAGCGTTGTTTGTATGGTATGAGTGTAAGATGCCCTTCGGCTTTCTGTTAAAAGGAAAGAATGAACAGAGCAGCAGTGATGTAAAATAAATGTTTCTGTCCTGGTAACATTGCAGTACATTGAAGAGGCTCCAGGGGTATTGGCTTTTATTGGAAATTTGGAAAGTTCTGACTGACTAGAGAAACTGACAAGAAGCAGGCCTTCCAACCCGCTGATGTATAAAACAGAGACATGTTGAGATAGGAATTGAAGGATTAGGTGTTTACTTACTGAAGATCTGAATTTGGAGCTGGTGCTTGGCTTTGCTTGATTGTTATACTAATGTGATTCTTCTGAATATAAATAAGCTGTGGCCTGCGCTGTGTTAAAAAAAAATGGAATTCTTTATTTTCTGTAGGTTCAACCAGCAACAGTAGCAATATTACGTGTGTTAAAAACTGGTTTTCTTTTTTTTTTTTAATGTCTCAAAGTTTTTGGTAGGGGTATGTGTGTGTGAGAGAGTATTTTGGGGGAAAAGAGAAGGTGGCTCAAAGGGGAAAAATTGCTTATGCTTTGGATGTGTTTCGAAAATTTTATTTTTATGCCTCTCGCCAAAAAAAAAAAAAAAGGTTGAGTGTTTTTCTTCAAGTTCAAAATTTACAAAGTTAAATGTTGGTTTGCGTTTGTGTGTTGGTATGATAAATACATGTGTGCTTTTGTTTTTAGTGTACTTCTTTCCATTTTTGTTTTATTTTCCAATATTTAGCTTGGAAAGATTTATTTGAGAGTTTCTGCCCCTTAAGGATGGACTTGCAAATAAAATACACAGCATGCTATTTTTTGGGCACTTTCTACTAGAAGGATGAAGTCTCTCTTTCATCTACTAGAAGGATGAAGTCTCTATTTCAATTTGAATCAGTAATAATGAACATTTGGTATTAAGCATCTGTTTCCATGGTGACCTTAAAAACGTTAAATTGATAAACCTCAGAATAGTAATGAGTGTTACACATAATCGCCTTTGAATACTGCTAATATTTAAAGGGGAGCTCTGGTAGCATAGTGCGTAAGGCACTTGACTGCTAACCAGAAGGCTGGCAGTTCAAACCTACCAGCCACTCCTCGGAAGGAATATGGGGCAGTCTACTTCTATAGTAGACTTCTATAGTGCTACTGCCTTGGAAACCCAAGGAGGGGTCGCTGTGAGTTGGGTCCGACTCGACGGCACATAACGACAACAACAATATTTAAAGTAATTGATGCCCATACGAACAGAGTTAGTGCCAGAAGGGTGATCAGAATTAGCATTTCTCTGTTCCTGGTACCCAGTTTTCTCCATTATTCAAAGACACATGGATAAATAGCTAGACCATAGACCTCCCATTGTCACTACATACTTCTTAGATTTCTTGGGCACTAGATGTCACTATTGTTCCAGTCAAGGATTAATGCATCTTAACCAAGGAATTATACTATGTCAGAATACTTATCTACTGCCTAATAGCTTGTGAGACAGAGCATGAAAGGGAGGTAGGGAAGGGGGTTGGTGGAGAGAACAAAAGAAAGTGACAGACTTTGAGTGTCAGGTTATGCTTTTAAAAAACAGCTTTCTGGTTCTTCTGTTGTGTTGTATATTCATCAGTGTTCCTCATTAAAATCATCCTGAGAGAGTGTTAAAAACATAGATTCCTGGGCCTTTAGAGACCCTCATTTGGTAGGTCAAGGGCAGGGGGTGGAATCTACATTTTTAACAAACCTTGAGATAATTCTGTTGTTAACTCACATCAGCAGGACAGGAGTTAGTGTTTGTGTCTAGGGTTGGATGTCGTTGATGACTGTTAAGGATGCTCTGCAAAGTCTGATTTTGCCTGGGAGGGGAGCATATATGAAGAAGGCTAAATATCACAGGGCAGTGGTTTGTATTTATCTTCCTTCTCTTGATTTACCATTATGTACAGTAGTTTTTCCTTTTGCTTGGTTTGACCCTTAACCTGTAACTCACAATAGTCTCAATAAAGTTGGAATTTCTCCAGAAAACAAGAAAGAAGTGGAGAAGAAACTGGCTGTGAAACCCATAGAATCCAAGAGCAAGTTCTCCCAGGCAAAGCTGTTGGCAGGAGCTGTGAAGCATAAGAGGTTAGCCAGCACCCGTACAACTTAAATCTCCCTCTGACTGTGTGTCCTGAAGTGCCACTTGTCATAGCAGCCAGAGCAAAAGGCTGCCTAGCATAAATTTTGGAGGCCTTATCTCTCTCCTCCTGCCAGATTGGTATCTTCTGTGGCCTTCGACCCTTGTCTCTTTGACCCTTCATTCAGCAAATACAATGATGGGTAGTCTCTTATTAGTCACTTGCCATATGCCAGGCGTGTTAAGTCCTTCCCATGCATGAGTTCATGTATTCCTCATGATGGTACTGTGAAGTACAAATTTTTATAGTCCCTATTTTACAGATGAAGAGACTGAAGATTTGAGAGACTGAGAACCCTTGTTGAAGGTCACACAGTAATAGGAGAGCTGGAGTTCAATATTTGAGAATTTGCTATGTTTCAAGGAAAATAAGGTAGCAAGTTCTGAAAAAGGATTTGTACAGAGTATAATGAGAGCAGGCAGGAAGAAACACCTAACTGCCTAGAAAGTGTGTGTATGCTCATGTTGGAAGTTAGGACAAGCATTAGAAAGGAGATGTTGATTAGGTAGGCTTTGAAACAAAGAAGGGAGAGAAGCACATCCCAGACAGGGAAACAGCTGCTTCAGAAGCATTGTGTCATGAAAGAACATAGCAGCTGTGACAGGATTGTAGACCTGGCTGTGACTAGGTTGACTTAGTGGGGGGTGGCAGCACTGCCTAGAGGTTTTGGGAAGTACTTTGTTATGTTTGTTCCTCCTTCCTGAATCCTAAAATGGCACCAGAGTGATTGAATCTTAACACAGCGATTTGACCAACCAGAGCATAGGTGAACTGATGTTAAGTTTAAGTGCAGTCTATTAGGCAAATCAATATGGTATATTGGCAACAAGCCACATGTTTTGAAAGGAGTATATTGATGCAGTCTTGTGGTTTGCACACTGTCCATCTGCTGCAGATGTTCCTAGGAACATTGCCTACATGTAAAAATGTTATCATGGTACAGCGGCAGAGGAGAGGAGAATCAGGAGCCTGAAAGGGCCAGTTACCCCAGCTATGATTATGCCTTTCAAGTTCTTACATAAGCTTTCATGCATGCCTTTCCCAATGTCTTCTAAGATTCAGCCCTGGGTCAGTTTTACTGGACTGTGTCAAGGAGGACTCCTTATAGGTGGGCAGTTAGTTATCTCACAGCAGTGCTCTTGCCGGTGGCAAAATGGATGTTTTAACTATTTACCTTACTTAGCACATAACAACAACATTACTTAGTCCTCAGATCACCTATAGCAAGAACTCAGTATTAGCTCTGTTTACCATGGTTTATTTGGTCATCTATGTTATTTAATGCTGCTTTGTGTAACAAAAAGGAACTCTGGTGACATAGTGCTTAACACATTCAGCTGCTAACCAAAAGGGTAGTGGTTCAAACCCATCAGCCACGTTGCAGGACAAAGACGAGGCAGTCTGCTATCAAGATTTACAGCCTTGAAAACCCTACAGAGCGGTTCTGCTCTGCCCTATAGTGTCACTAGGAGTCAGAATCAACCTTGTGTAACAGGATGATCATTTAAGTCTTCTGGGGCAGAAGTTCCTAATCTACTTGGCCCTGGGTTTATTTGAATCACCTGGGAATTTGTTGATAATGTAGATTCCTAGGCCTCACACTTCCTCTGGTTCAGTAAGTTTGGAGTGAGATCTTCATCCCTTGGATTAGTCAGGGGTTTTAAGTTGTATTTATAACTGATAACATAATTGGAAGGAGATGGAGAACCTGAAATGAAGACTTTACTCCCATTCCAGTTCCCTGAGGCTGCTTAAGACCCATCTAAATGGTTATTAGAGCTCCCCATTCTCCAAGTTCTGATCCCCAAGATTGTACAGAGCTCAAATCACCATGGTTTTTGTTTGTTTGTTTTTATAGCTCAGAGAGTGGCAGTAGTGTGAAAAGACTGAAACCAGACCCTGACCCAGATGACAAGAATCAAGGTGGGTGGCAGCCTTTGTTTCTTTCTGTTACTCATACCTGTGAACCACTGTAAAGGACTGGAATATATTGCATCTATGAGTAAATGCTTGTATCTCTCTTTAAGCAAGTCTACCTAAACTTAATTTACCAAACTACTTTATTTACTAGGCAGGATTTATACCCGAGAATATGTCTACTGCCCTGCAAAGTAATATGCTTGAAACTGGTGGAGCTGATAAGTGACAATTGTGTTCTCCTAGGAGTGCTTACAAAGCCCTAGTCATACCACCTCTGCTTACAAAGGGCTTTTTTCTGTCTCCCCCAAATGTCGAGTTTATTGATTTCACTTGGCTTGCTACCAGTGGGAGGTAGAATCCCTGGCTCCTGCAGATGGTTGGATTGTTTTGAACCTAGAAGCTTAATATAGTCTTCAGGAGTACACTTTTTTTTGGTAGCTACTTTTATATGATGAAATCTGCCTCTGTATTAAGTGGCACAAAGTTGTAAGTGAAGGTGAGTGTTCCTGGGGACTGGATCAGGGATGAGAAACTCAGGAGTTTGTTTTTAGTTTCACCCCCTGACTCCCTGGGGGTTGAGATTGCACTAAACTCAATGGGTCATCCATAAAACAGGGCTCATGTTTCTTTTTCTCTCAAAAAATAATGATAATGGGTGCTTTTAATATGTAGCAAATGAATACCAGTGATGGTGGGCTACTGCTGATACTCATTTGCACTAGAATACATTTCTAAAAAGGACGGTCAGTGAAGATTGTCCTTTCTACCCATACCGACTCCCGTCCATTTCTCCTTCCCAGAGACCAAAAGCAAAAACTCAAACTCACTGCCATCAAGTCAATTTAGACTCATAGTGACCCCCATTGGGTTTGCAAAGCTGTAAATCTTTATGGAAGCAGACTGGCTCATCTTTCTTGCATGGAGCAGCTGGTGGATTCGAACCATTGGCGTTTTGGTTAATAGCCAGATGCCTTAACCAGTATACCACCAGAGCTCCTTCCTAGAGACGGTGTTAGATATTTCTTATGTGTCTGTCCAAAGCTGTGTATTTACAAGTAATTACAAATATATTCTGTTTTAAAAATAAGTTTTATTACGGATAATTTGAAACATGTGAAGAAAATACTGTAATGAACCTCTATCACCTAGCTTCTGCAGTTTTTTTTTTTTTTTT